GGCTGAGCCCGTTGATCTCTCCCTCAACAAGTCCAAGGTGGCAGTGGCGGCCTCAGCCCCCCCACCGCCGCCCCCCACCTCGGTCCAGTCCTCCCCCTTGCTGGTGGCTCCCCCGCTCCCCGCTCCCACCACCGTCTCCATCTCGCCCTCTGGCCTTAGCTCCACCTCGGCCATCCCAGCTGTTCTCTCGCCTGGCTCCATCCTGGCCTCCACGCAGGGCAGTGGTGGGCAGCAGATCCTCCACGTCATCCACACCATCCCCTCTGTCAACCTGCCCAGCAAGATGGGCAACCTCCAGACCATCCCTGTGGTGGTCCAGTCCCTCCCTGTCGTCTACACCACCATGCCCACCGACGGCGTCACTGCCATCACTGTACCCCTCATCGGGGGGGACGGCAAGAACGCTGGGTCTGGTAAGGGTGTGTGGGGAGAAACCCTGAAATTTTTGGGGGGGCGGGAGAGGGGGGATGTCCTGTTTCATAGAGCAGCACCCCTGAGGGGATCTAATTTTTCCACGCTAGCGTGTCCCTCCACTCACTGTCTGCTTCCCCACACCTGCCACCTTCACCCAAAGTCCCCCCCAGGGCCCTTAACCCCCAGACTGTGCCCCTAAGGGGACACAGGAAGGGCAGGGGACACACGGGGCATGGTGCTGCCTGCCCTGCTTGCTTGCCACCCGTCCCACTGCTGGCAACTTGCCTGCCCTTCCCACTGTCTGCCTGCTGCCAGGGCTCTGGTTTCAGTTCAGCTGCCCTCCTCCTGTGCCTCCCTATCCCCTTCCCCAGGACGTTCCCAGTTTCCCACCTTATTGGGGGGAAGAGGCCTTGATCTCCTCTCCTCCAGGCAGACTGCCGAAAGGGGTGCACCCCCCCCAGTCATGTCCCTCCATACCTCTGTGCCCCATGCTGTGGGGGGCTTTCCCCAGCTTGGTTTTATGTTTTTGTGGGTGGAACAGTTCTTGGGGTGCTGTGGGAGCAGGGGGAGGGTTGGTCCCTTTGGTGCGTGTGTGTGTGGTTTTTTTGTGGGGTGCCTCTGTTTTCTGCTCACAAACCTCACCCCGTCCCTCCTTGTGTCTCAACAGCTTTTCTTTCCCGCCCCCCCCCAGTGAAAATTGACCCAGGCTCCATATACCCCATGGACATGAACAGCGACAGTGAGGACAGTGCCTCTGAGAGCGGCCCAGCCCCTTTCCAGGACCTCCAGAGAGAGTGAGTCTTCTCATATGGGTGTCCGCCTCCTTGTCGTACCCCCTGAGCTTTGTCCCTGGGCACCCTGCG